GATAGATAGATAGATAGATAGATAGATAGATAGATAGATAGATAGATAGATAGATAGATAGATTTTATTTTATTTACTTTTTGTTTTGTTTTGTTTTGTTTTGTTTATGTGTCATGCACCTTGTAGTGCCCAGCCCTCATGGGCTTAAAAAACACTCCACACATAGAACACACATAACAAGATGGCTACATTCATACCACACGTCCCACAAAAAATATCATTGCAAACTGAAACTTAGCTGGGATACAACGCATGATGTCTTCTTTCCCAAGCTTTGCAAAAAAATTCCCTATCATAAATCTAACTTACAATGTTATCCTCAGATAACAGAAATATGCCTGCAATATGTCTATTTATACATTTAAATAGATAAAATCTTAAATCAAAATACAAAGGACAGTAGATAATAAAACTATATTCATCTTCCACCACATTAAGGTCACAAACTCTCTCCTCTTCAGAGAGACATTTATACCTACTCACTTCTAAACTGCCAATTCTGATCTGGGCACAAAGGGACTGCTGTTGTCYTTATAAATTTGGTTTTAGGGTAAACTGAATGTAATTTCTCAGTTTTGGTTTTCTACAAATATACATATATATGTATAACCCGTATTGTCAAACACGTGTTTGTTAAAAATCCTTATTTTCTGACATTCATTTGTCATCTTTGCTCTTGTTATTTGAAATTTAAACCAATAAAAAAAATCACCTCAAGGAACTCCTGCACTACTTGTTCTGGTGTGTTACCAAAGAAAATGTAGAAATCAAGGATTCCTCCGATGGTTCTGTAGGTCACAGCTGGGGCAGGCTGCAGAGTCACCTCTAAAAGTGGAAAAAAATAAGTAAATAAAAAAAAAAAAACATTCTGTGCTGTTCAGGTTAGTATAAGGTGATATTATCCTAACATCAACACTATGATTGTTGACATGCACATTGTTATATTAATTTAAAAAATACAATAAGAGTACAATAAAGATGTTAGTTGGTATTTCCTTGTTTTCAGTCTTCTCCTTCCAACATTAGATATTCTCTTTTATTTGTAAGCACAACTTTTATTTTGTTTTTTGAAAAGAAGTGGAAATGTAGTTTAGGATTTGGAGATGAGGCACAAACTTAACTTCATGTCTCCTAAAGTCATTGTAATTTATTTCTCAGCAAATGTACTCACAGAGTGTATTTTAAACTATGYTAGGTATGTCTATGCTTTGACTGGAGCTGTGAGGTTGTATTTTATGTTTCTATGCATAATTATGCAGTATACCACTGAAACAGACTGTACTTTTTAAATCACTGCTGCCTTCTCATAGATTGTGTTTTGGAGTTTATGGACTTCCCTGAGGACAGCAAAATACATAGAAAGGCATGGGTGTGTGGGAGTGTTCATCCATACCCATAGCATTGCTGTTCAGGAGAAAGACCCCAAATGACTTTCCACTCTCATCTTCCAGACAGAGGAAGAAGGGGTAGTGTCCATAGAGGTTATGTGTTCCCTGCAAGAAAAGAAGACACCAATAAGAGCTGTGAGTTGCAAGAGGGATGTGGGAACGTGTGCGCGCGTGCATGTGTGTGTGTGTGTGTGTGTGTGTGTGTGTGTGTGTGTGTGTGTGTGTGTGTGTGTGTGTGTGTGTGTGTGTGTGACTACACTGTCTAATCAGCTTGTAAGTTATCAGCTTTTCTAGACGAATCATTCTTACATGGGAGAATCATGTGTAAACATGCTAGTTATGCACATTATTTCAGAGTTAAGACTCGAGATAGGATTTTGAGTCCACAGTATGTCTAAGTCAAAAGTCAGTATGTGCTCTTACCCCATTAGGAAAAGAATCTCTGGCGAAAATTGGCCAGGTTCTCCAGTTTGTGTCATGCTGATATCTGGTGTGCACATGCTCTCCGAGGCCATAGATATTATGAGATGGAAGTTTAGCAGACAGCTGTATGTACTGGTCTGCAAACACCAGAGGAGCCATGTTGGTGTTAAACCTGAATGTGTGTGAGGAAAAAAAAAGGATCATAATCATGAAGTTTCAGCAATAAAAGGAAGTGAAAGATGGTTTTGGAAAATGACAAGGAGAGACAAAATGTAAGTGGGAGGAAGCAAGAAAATAGGAGTACAATGCAGCATGACGAGGGAGCAGAAATGAGACAAGGACTTGTGAAAAAGTCTTTTACAAAGGGGAAAAAAAAAACAGGGAGAAGACATCCTATCAAGCTCTAATAAGCCCTCTGGGCAGCATTTCTTCTAAACAAGACATGCACTGGTAGTCGAAATACTGACACAGCAAACAGCTGTAGAAACATACAAGCAAAGGTTGTTGATGTGGCAAATATACACCGTTAATCATGAAACCAGCTAAAAACGAGTAGTTCTTGATACTGGTGCAGTTACTGCAGATTTTATGGACTGTATCATGTTTTTTTATGATTTGAAAAAATCTAATTAAATTAAATATGTAAACCTCACTGAATATGAACATTCATAGACTTTTCACACATACAGCAGTGTGCTGTTCAGGTTACTATAAGAATATAATTAATGTATATAAAGTTAAACCTTTGATAAGTTCACAGGTGCCATACTGAAAAACTCCACAAATTAGAAACAAAGCCCGTGCACAACAACTGTGCAGTAAGAGTAAACAATTGTTTGAGCAACCTAAATATCTGTTAATGTTTGACAACTAAACTCAAGTGTAATATTCTTCCTTCAGGTTCAAGGTTGGGTCAAATATTGAGACAGAACACAACYCTGCACAATGATGTGGTGACACAGAGCAAAGGTTGTCACATGAAATAAAATGACTTGTTACTTCATGTTTTAGCTGTAAACTGGGATCGTAAAAGACCTGAAGCGGGAACACTTAGAACCTGAAAAAAAAAATATTTCAGAACTGATATAAAGTTAGCTGTGTTGCATAGCCTGGCTGAAGATGTAAAAATGTAACAGTGCATATATTTGTTGAAAAAAAATGTTTACGTATTTTAATGTGTAGTATAATTGAGATATTTTTCAAGAAATTTTAATTTTTTTTCCATTTTTTAATGGAGCTGTAATGATAATACAAGTTGGGTGCCTAATGGGACAGTGAGCCAAGCATAACATTTCTCAGGGGTAAGGGATTATGATGACATCACCAGTGTGTCTTCCATAGTGTRCCAATTGGTTGATTTCAAAATAACTATCATCAGACTTGCATAACAATGAGAAATCACTCTTTAGTACAAGGCTGACATGTTTTACACATTGCCTTAAATGAACTTAGACAAATAATGCATTTTGAGCCAAAGATATTATTTTGTCAGCTTCCAATTTCAGTTATACCAGAGGTTTCCAGATATTACCAGATTATAT